CTCCACTAAGTCTCAAGGGAAGCATTGATTCGATTTGACGTAAGGTGTCATGAGGTGGTGGCCTGGATGATCAGAACTCTGCCAAGATGTCCTGACGGATGCGCATTCTGCTGCCTTTGTGTCTGTGTACGCGCTTGGCATTTGCAGACTGCCAAGTGCCCCGACCACGGTGGTCTTTAGACACGGGCTCCTGCTTTGAAGCGGAGCGTGAGGGATATTTGAGGGACGGGGAGCACTGTGTACCGAAGTGTGCAGCCGGTTACTACGCATCAGTTTCCGTGCTGTCCTGTGTTGGCGAACAGATGGTGCCAGAAGCGTTTGTCTGCTCTTTGGTACCGATGGCGACACTGGCTCATGAATTGATTGAAGACATCCCTGACAGCTTGCGGATATCCAGATGTCTTCGTGAAGCCAGTGCTTGCAGTTACGAGGCCGGTAGAGCAGTTGACCTGAAAGATACGCGGAAACAGATTCATAATATAAAATGCATCTTCTTTGTCCGGAATCTTTGCACTGGGTGAGCCAGGCCAGAATGACTAAATGTTAGGAATGCGTTGGGCTGTTTAAGTTGCATTGGAGATGCTTGCTTGAGATAGCACCTGCCTTGTCTCCCTGGCCAGCACCTGCAGTATGCAACTTATTTGGCGCAGGCAGGAGACTGGGAAGGCGCAGCAGATTGATGCATCAAGCGCAAATAGAAACACAACTAGAATCGCTACTGTTACATGAAATGTATAAAATATGGATTCGATCCTGCTAGCTTTTCTCGCAGGGGTGGCATGACTGAAATACTTCTTGTGATGGCTGAGCCTATGCCGTGGCTTGACGTCGAATGGGCTGGGAAAAACAGCTTGGCGGCTTCTCCTGCCTGCTCCTTCAGACACCTGTGAGTGCACTTGTGAGTTGAGAATGCATGCTCCTCGCCACACTTGAGCGTCTTGCGCAGAGATGCCGGAGCTCCTGCGCTTAGTCCTAGCTTCTTAGCTTCTTGACCGACCCACAGGTATTGCAGAATAGAGTTTTTGGGGACTGACATGCCAAGCAAACAAAGTGCTGGAATGACAACACCTAGCTGCAACTTCTCATTGCAAACAGCGTTTGATTCCAAGCATTTGCGAGATAGATTTGTTCGTGGATCTTAGCTGTATGGCACAATGACGATGGCTGCCCAGGCCGATTTTTGTTCCGTCAGTGTTTTGCATTACTTATCTTGTGTCATTGCCAAAGACAGCAAGACGCATTGACCACTAAACAACGTACTGCAAGGATGAGACAGCGGACAGTTGGACCCTGAAGATTCTTCTAAGATGCTAAAGTTACTGCTCCACCAGATGTTGTCTGTTTTTCCCAGGCTTCAATGAAGACTCTGAGGTCAAGCTCTTGTCGCAGCTCTCCAAGACCGCTTGAGGCCCCACGTCCATCCCCTCGATGCCTTGCCATTCCTTTTGCTACCCTCATCATTTTCAAACATTTTCACAGCAACTTGGTGCAGGAAAGCTTTGGCAGAGCTGGATGCCTGCAATGCACTCAGAATAGGAACAGCCCTGATAGACTTTGAACTCTTGGAACCCAACTGTGTCAGAGACCTCACTGGTGTGAGCATTCCTTAGAGCTCATCCACACTATTCAATCTGACCTTCACACCTCTCCAAACCTCTTCGCACTGATCTCAAGCTTCATAGATTTGGCATGATTTGGCTTTAGGTCTTGCATAGTTTTGCCGTGTTTTGCTCCAATCTGCTATATACCATTTGCTACCGTTACAGTCATCTTGGCCTTGAAACCTTGTGACTATTGCTTTCCATCATGGCGCTCTGCTCACCCTGCTCACCCTGCCTGACATATACTTGACCACTAGCCATCACTGGCCACCCGGCTTTGCTTCCTTATCGCTATTCGTCCCAGTTTTGGGAGAGTACCTGTGCCACGCTTGCAGACTGGACGACATAGGGCAGAAATAGGAAACAAACAAACATTTTTGGGATGCCTCACAGGCATGGAACAGCTCTGCAAAGGTTTAGTACTCTAGTGTTTGTAGTGTCTTCAATGTTATGCCCTAGGCACCTATACTACCTATACTATACTTTCGAATTTTGAAGTCATGAGGAGAGCGTTGTCCTCAGTGTTTCACTTGGGATAGGTTTTCACTGATGGTCATCCAGGTAGAAAGCATCTTGATGCGGACCAGTTGGCGGAGCAATGCTTGAGCAGTGAGCTCAAGGACGGCTTGTCAAGTCTGAAGTTTGATCGAGTTTGGACGTGTTTGTTTGGATGTTTTGTGATTGTCCAAGATCGCCACTTGGTAGAGATTTTTTTGTATTGCAGAAGCAGACAATTTCACAAACATTCGTGCGACATCATATGACCATACCACGCATGTTTTTCGATGCACGCAGGACCATGCTGATGTCTTGGAGCCAGTGGCGAATTTCGAAATTTGGCTGCAGGAAATTGGCATGAAAATGAAATCGCCCGCTCCAAGCCAAGACTTGGCAGCAAAAACATCCCGCCGGACCGGAAACCGTGCCCATAAAACGCACGTTTTTAAAGAACATGGTGATTTTACCGCAGTGCCGTGCTGATTTGATGATTGGAAATCCTGGAAAAACTTGGGGCGCGTTTTTTTGGCTTTTCAGCGTCATCGCTGCAACGCATGCACCGTTATCAGCTGGCAGTCAGCATTCTTGTGAATGCATCTCCATTGCATTACTGTAAATATTAGAATCCCCAATATGTCGGGACCCAAATAATGCATGCCAGGTCCCTGAGTCGCGAACCTGCAGCACACAGAACAAAATGTGATTATGTAAGCGGACCGAAAACCTATGCGTCACTACCGCGCCCAAACCCATACGCAGCGTAGCATGTAGCGGCTGCGCCAAGTGGTGTCAACGTGCACATTGTATGGCAGGCAGGGGACATCGTGAGAGTTTCATTTTGCGTGGCAGGCGCAGGATTTGGTGAAGATCCGTAGTGTGTGGAATGTCACTTTGCGTGGCGGCCGCAGTATTTGGCACACTCTACACACCACACTCCGCACTACACTTTACACTTTACACTCCACACTCTACACTTTACACTCCCCACTCTACAATTACAGTGAACACTCCGACACTCTAAACTTTACACTCCGCGCTCTACACTTTACAGTGAACACTCCGCACTCTCACATTTTCCACTTTACACTCCACACTCTATACTCCACACTTTACGCTTCACACTCTATACTTTTCACTTTGCACTTTACACTTGACACTCCGCGCTCCGCACTCTACACTTTATGCTTTACACTCCGCACCCTGCACGCTTTACACTTTACACTCCACACTTTACACTCCGCACTTCACTTGACACTGTGCACTCCAGACTCTATACTCCACACTCTACACTCCACACTTTTCACTTTTCACGCCTCTCTCCACACTCTACACTCTACACTTTACACTCCGCACACTACACTTTACACCCCACACTCTAGACTCTACACTCCACACTCCACACTTTACACTCCGCACATGCACTCCGCAGCTTACACCCCACAGTGCGCACATTACATTTTGCACTCGGCACTTTAAAACTTGACACTTTACACTCCACACTTTGCACTTTACACTCCACACTTTAAAAACTTTACACTGTGCACTTTACACTTCACGATTTACACATGGCACTCAGCACTCACACTTAAAACTTGACACGCCAAACTCCACACACTACACTCCACACTCCACACTTTACACTTTACACTTCACACTTCACTTGACACTTTGCACTCCGCACTCCACACTTTTCACTTTTCACTTTACACTCCACACTTTACACTTTACACTCCACACTTTTCACTTTACACTCCACACTTTTCACTTTACACTCCACACTTTACACTCCACACTTTACACTTTACTCCACATTTTAGACTTTACACTCCACACTCTGCACTCCACACTTTTCACTTTACACTCCACACTCTACACTTTACACTCCATACTCCGCACTGCACTTTTCACTTTATACCTTGCACTCCACACTCTACACTTCACACTTTCCACCCCACACTTTACACTTTGCACTCCACCCTCCACAATCCCCACTTCACACTCTACACATTACATTCCCCACTCACTCAACGCTCCACTTTCATTACGCTACACACTTTGCACCCCACCCCTTTCCACATTCCACAGTCTACAGAGCACTGGTACGGTAACAGCGGAAAAATGGAAAAACATATAAGACTGTTCAAATATGTTGTTTAGCAAAAGCGTTTTACGTGACTGCCTTCGGGTTCGTTTGTTTCTCTTGTTTTGGAATTGCAGCGACGAGGTTTGAAGGTGCAGCAAATACATGGCTCAACACTATAGTCAGTATTTGACACATATTTGAAACACTACAACACTACAATTAATGCACTTGTTTCTGCTAACAGCGTTATGGCACTAGCACTGACTGTTACTAACTTTACTATCTTTACTACCATTACTTCAACATTACTTCAACATTACTTCAGCATTATTTCAACATTACTTCAACATTACTTCAACATTACTGAAACATTACTTTAGCGTTACTTTAACATTACTTTAGCATTACTTTAACATTACTTTAACATTACTTTAACATGACTTTAACATGACTTTAACATTACTTTAACATCACTTTGACATTACTTTAACATTACTGTAACATTACTTTAGCATTACCTTAATTAACATTACTTTAACATTACTTTAACGTTACTTTAACATTACTTTAGCATTACTCTAACATTACTTTAACATTACTTTAACATTACTTTAACATTACTTTAACATTACTTTAACATTACTTTAATTAACATTACTTTAACATTACTTCAACATTACTTCAACATTACTTCAACATTACTGTAACATTACTTCAGCATTACTTCAACATTACTTTAACATTACTTTAACATTACTTTAACATTACTTTAGCATTACCTTAACATTACTTTAACATTACTTTCACATTACTTTAGCATTACCTTAACATTACTTTAACATTACTTTAACATTACTTTAACATTACTTTAACGTTACTTTAACGTTACTTTAACATTACTTTAACATTACTTTAACATTACTTTAACGTTACTTTAGCATTACTGTAACGTTACTTTAAGTAACATTACTTTAACATTACTTTAACATTACTTTAACATTACTTTAACATTGCTTTCGCATTACTTTAACATCACTTTAGCATTGCTTTAACATTGCTTTCGCATTGCTTTAACATCACTTTAACATTACTTTAACATTACTTTAACATTCAACATTAACATTACTTTTACTTCAACATTACTTCAACATTACTTAACATTACTTTACATTACTTTAACATTACTTTACATTACTTTAACATTACTTTAACATTACTTTAACGTTACTTTAACATTACTTTAACGTTACTTTAACATTACTTTAACGTTACTTTAACATTACTTTAACATTACTTTAACATTACTTTAACATCACTTTAACGTGACTTTAACCTTACTTTAACCTTACTTTAACCTTACTTTAACCTTACTTTAACATTACTGTAACATTACTTTAACGTTACTTTAACATTACTTTAACGTTACTTTAATTAACATTACTTTAACATTACTTTAACATTACTTTAACATTACTTTAACATTACTTTAACACTACTTGAACGTTACTTTAACATTACTTTAACATTACTTTAACATTACTTTTTAACATTACTTAAACATTACTTTAATTAACGTTACTTTAACATTACTTTAACATTACTTCAACATTACTTCAGCATTACTTCAACATTACTTCAACATTACTTCAACATTACTGAAACATTACTTTAGCATTACTTTAACATTACTTTAGCATTACTTTAACATTACTTTAACATTACTTTAACGTTACTTTAACATTACTTTAACGTTACTTTAACATTACTTTAACGTTACTTTAACATTACTTTAACATTACTTTAACATTACTTTAACATCACTTTAACGTGACTTTAACCTTACTTTAACCTTACTTTAACCTTACTTTAACCTTACTTTAACATTACTGTAACATTACTTTAACGTTACTTTAACATTACTTTAACGTTACTTTAATTAACATTACTTTAACATTACTTTAACATTACTTTAACATTACTTTAACATTACTTTAACACTACTTGAACGTTACTTTAACATTACTTTAACATTACTTTAACATTACTTTAACATTACTTAAACGTTACTTTAACGTTACTTTAATTAACATTACTTTAACATTACTTTAATTAACATTACTTTAACATTACTTTAACGTTACTTTAACATTACTTTAACATTACATTAACATTACTCTAACATTACTTTAACATTACTTTAACATTACTTTAATTAACATTACTTTAACATTACATTAACATTACTTTAACATTACTTTAACATTACTTTAACATTACTTTACCATTACTTTAACATTACTTTAAGTAACATTACTTTAACATTACTTTAACATTACTTTAACGTTACTTTAACATTACTTTAACATTACATTAACATTACTTTAACATTACTTTAACATTACTTTAACATTACATTAACATTACATTAACATTACTTTAACATTACTTTAACATTACTTTAACATTACTTTAACATTACTTTAACGTTACTTTAACATTACTTTAACGTTACTCTAATTAACATTACTTTAACATTACTTTACTTAACATTACTTTAACATTACTTTAACGTTACTTTAATTAACATTACTTTAACATTACTTTAATTAACATTACTTTAACATTACTTTAACGTTACTTTAACATTACTTTAACATTACATTAACGTTACTTTAACATTAGTTTAACATTACTTTAACATTACTTTAGCATTACATTACTTTAACATTACTTTAACATTACTTTAACATTACTTTAACATTACTTTAACATTACTTTAACATTACTTTAACATTACTTTAACATTACTTTAACGTTACTTTAACATTACTTTAACATTACATTAACATTACTTTAACATTACTTTAACATTACTTTAACATTACTTTAACATTACTTTAACATTACTGTAACATTACATTAACATTACTTTAGCATTACTTTAACATTACTTTAACATTTCTTTAACGTTACTTTAACATTACTTTAACATTACATTAACATTACTTTAACATTACTTTAACATTACTTTAACATTACATTAACATTACATTAACATTACTTTAACATTACTTTAACATTACTTTAACATTACTTTAACATTACTTTAACATTACTTTAGCATTACATTACTTTAACATTACTTTAACATTACTTTAACATTACTTTAACATTACATTAACATTACTTTAACATTACATTAACATTACTTTAACATTTTTTAACATTGCTTTAACATTACTGTAACATTACTTTAACATTACTTTAACATTACATTAACATTACTTTAACATTACATTACTTTAACATTACTTTAACATTACTTCAACGCTACTTTAACATTACTTTAACATTACTTTAACATTACTTTAACATTACTTTAATTAACATTACTTTAACATTACTTTAACGTTACTTTAACATTACTTTAACATTACATTAACATTACTCTAACATTACTTTAACATTACTTTAACATTACTTTAATTAACATTACTTTAACATTACATTAACATTACTTTAACATTACTTTAACATTACATTAACATTACATTAACATTACTTTAACATTACATTAACATTACTTTAACGTTACTTTAATTAACATTACTTTAACATTACTTTAATTAACATTACTTTAACGTTGCTTTAACATTACATTAACATTACTTTAACGTTACTCTAACATTACTTGAACATTACTTTAACATTACTGTAACATTACTTTAACATTACTTTAGCATTACATTAACATTACTTTAACATTACTTTAACATTACTTTAACGTTACATTAACATTACTTTAACATTACTTTAACATTACTGTAACATTACATTAACATTACTTTAGCATTACTTTAACATTACTTTAACATTTCTTTAACGTTACTTTAACATTACTTTAATTAACATTACTTTAACATTACTTTAACATTACTTTAACATTACTTTAACATTACATTAACATTACTTTAGCATTACTTTAACATTACTTTAACGTTACTTTAACATTACTTTAAGGTTACTTTAACACTACTTGAACGTTACTTTAACATTACTTTAACATTACTTTAACATTACTTTAACATTACTTTAACGTTACTTTAACGTTACTTTAACATTACATTAACATTACTCTAACATTACTTTAACATTACTTTAACATTACTTTAATTAACATTACTTTAACATTACATTAACATTACTTTAACATTACATTAACATTACTTTAACATTACTTTAACATTACTTTAACGTTACTTTAACATTACTTTAACATTACATTAACATTACTGTAACATTACTTTAACATTACTTTAACATTACTTTAACATTACTTTAACATTACTGTAACATTACATTAACATTACTTTAGCATTACTTTAACATTACTTTAACATTTCTTTAACGTTACTTTAACATTACTTTAACATTACATTAACATTACTTTAACATTACTTTAACATTACTTTAACATTACATTAACATTACATTAACATTACTTTAACATTACTTTAACATTACTTTAACATTACTTTAACATTACTTTAACGTTACTTTAACATTACTTTAACATTACATTAACATTACTTTAACATTACTTTAACATTACTTTAACATTACTTTAACATTACATTAACATTACTTTAACATCACATTAACATTACTTTAACATTTTTTAACATTGCTTTAACATTACTGTAACATTACTTTAACATTACTTTAACATTACATTAACATTACTTTAACATTACATTACTTTAACATTACTTTAACATTACTTCAACGCTACTTTAACATTACTTTAACGTTACTCTAATTAACATTACTTTAACATTACATTAACATTACTTTACTTTACTTAAGCATTACTTTAACATTACTTTAACGTTACTTTAACATTACTTTAACATTACTTTAACAGTACTTTAATTAACATTACTTTAACATTACTTTAATTAACATTACTTTAACATTACTTTAACATTACTTTAACATTACTTTAACATTACATTAACATTACTTTAACGTTACTTTAATTAACATTACTTTAACATTACTTTAATTAACATTACTTTAACGTTGCTTTAACATTACTTTAACATTACATTAACATTACTGTAACATTACTTTAACATTACTTTAGCATTACATTAACATTACTGTAGCATTACTTTAACATTACTTTAACATTACTTTAACCATTACTTTAACGTTACTTTAACATTACTTTAACATTACTTTAACTAACATTACTCTAACATTACTTGAACATTACTTTAACATTACTTTAACGTTACTTTAACATTACTTAAACATGACTTTAACGTTACTTTAACATTACTTTAACTTTTCTTTAACATTGCTAACGTTACTAACATTACTAACTGCTCTAGCGTTTCTGTCGGCGGCTGCTGTGCAGATTTGGCCGATCCAAGGCGTCGGGGAAGTCGCTCGACCCCACCATTCCAGCCCTGAACTTTGGAGAAATCGACCTGATACATCTTGATACCTGAACTTTGTCAGCTTTGTTCACTGTTTCTGAATCTTTGGCACAGGTGATCAATGCATAAGGTTTCTTGAAGTACCTTTTGGTGAGTTATTGGATCACATTTGTAGGTGATGGATAGGGGGAGGCCATGTGTTTTTGAAGGTTCTCGCATCTTCCTCGGCAGTGCCCAAGGTTGGGGATCAGGCAACGAGCTGTGGCAAGACAGGTTTGACATGCATTTACTTTTCCATTTAACTATTTTTAGAGGTATGGAGACTTACATTAACTATCATTAACATACATTTACATTTTTTTGTTTTTGATATTGGTTAGTTTTCCGTAGTAGTCCGTAGTATATACAATACACTTCCATCATCTTCCATCATGTTCCAGATTTTTTTTTCGAATGTTTGTAAAACTTGTGGCTGAGGCTTTGGAGCACAGCCTCAAAGAGGAACTAAGCATGGCCAAGGCCTGCCCAAGGTTTCCAGACGACAAATCACCGCAGTCGAGTCATTTCATGTACAGCACAGGAACATCGTACTTTCTGACGCTTACGATTGGACGTTTGCCGTCTTTCAACTCAGGTTTATGGACATCTCACGATCAAACTTCCATCAATTTTTCATATTTACTCTACCACTAGTTAACGTAGCAATGATTTTTAAGGAAAAACACGAGCTACGTTAAATAACAACCGTAAAAAGGTGAACATCGCACGAAGTCCACTCACCGTTTTTTTGCCTCTTGACGTAACGTAGCCACACAAGGATGCTTGCCAGAGCATGCTGCGGCAGAGGGTTCCTTCCTTTGTGGCAAGGTTAGGGGGAAAAACTTGAATTCATGGCTGTTTTGTCCATTCTTGAACAACTTTCTTCATTACCAAACATATTATCAATAATATTCATTTTGTTATTACTATTGTCATTATTATTGTTATTACAATTAGTGTCGTCATCATTACTATTCAATACTGTGGATGGAAGAAATCCTGCACCAGTTGGTATATGGTTTATCCCCTTGTAATCCCATTATTTACAGTGTTTCCTAGTTATTCAACGGTTGCCAACTGGCGCAGGATTTCTTCCATCCACAGTATCTCCTTGTTTTTTTTCCCCGATTTCTAAGCACCCCGGCCATGTTAAATAGTGAATTAAATAGTGCCAATGTACATCATTTCACATGATCTATCGTGCCCGATATTGTTGATAAATGCGCAGTGCAGGCACTCCTGATGTTAAGCAATGTCTCACTGAGCATGGACTTGGAGAGCTCATCCGCAGAGGCTTGGCATTGGACCTTTGATGCTCACATTGGATGTTTATCCCAGTGATTCCGGGTGTTTTGTCGGTGTGAGCTGTGCTCGGCATCTCCTTGAGCCTCACTTTTGCAGGAAGTGAGTGCGCCGGAGGTAGTTCGACTGAAAGGTTTCCACCTGAGTTTCCACGGGGCTTTGGAGTTTGCGCAGCCAATGACTTCCAAGGCAATCCCAGATTGATTCAGCTTCTTATCACCTTGAGACAGAAGGTCGGGTCACCGTCAGGGTTCTTTCCGAGTGGTGGTGGCCGTGCGGGCAGTTATGTATGATTAAGAGGCTTCCAATTTGATTGCCAATTTGTTCAGGGCCCTGGCGAAAACAGCACAATTTCGAAGCCTCTGAGCTCCACGGACTGGCCATGACTTGCGACTTGCCATGACTTGCCAGGTGGCTTTGCTGAAGCAGCAGTACCTGCTATTGCGGGGTGATATGCAGAGCACTGAGCTTTTCAACAGGACTTAAAGTTCAACAAGTTCAACCGATTTCCTCAAAGTTCACCAAGTGCGTCGCTGAGGCTCTATTTGAAGCATGAGATGAATGTGTGCAAGAACTGGGTGCCTCTTTGGCATACTTAGGTCTTGACATGTCTTGACTCTTGACGCTTTTCGGAACTTTAAAGCATCTTGACAGCCACTGTGGGATCTTTGCGAGCAGTATGTGCTGGGACACTGATGGCATGGCCGGCTGCATAAACTATTGACTACTCAAGGTACAACAATCCGTCCGCACAGCATTGCAAAGTCAGTTGATCCCCCAGAGCTTTTGACGCAGTACTTTCAGAGAGTGATATCAAGGCCAAAGTATTTCAAGGCATTTCACTGCCATTTGCTCGCAATTCTGCACTCTTTCTTGCTCTTTCAGGTTCTGACGTCTGTGATCGAAGCCGCAACGGGCATGGTCCTGGTAGAGTCGTAGAGCTTGATTATCTTTTGGCAAAGCACCATCTGAGACCGATCCAGCGGACATGCGCCAAGATGCCCTGGAAGGGCGCGGAACATTGACAAAGACTTGGCCCACCCATACTCTTCCACTGCTTACCGTACCATAACATAATCATAACATACTTGTATGATCTTGTATGTTCCACATCCATGCTTTCCAAATTGCTGCCAAATACAAATTACATATGACCCAGACCCAGACCCATAGATACTGAGCCGGCAACCCACCGGAACATGCAACGATGACGAACGTATGAGAGAACCGGGCAGTAGTAGTCAGAATCGGGCCTGCAACTGAATAAATAGAAGTAAGCGGAAATCGAGAGAGAGAGAGAGAGAGAGTGCCCTCGCTGACACCCTTAATTTGCTTGTCGTTCTTGTGAATTGTAGCTAGGCTTGAAAGAAGAGATTGAGGTTCCGAACCATTTGTCAATATCAGCTTGGGAGAGTTCAGGTTGCAGGATGTTGCAAATGTGGCCCAGTGGCTGGTTCCTCCAATCTCATGGTGACTTTGACGCAGGATCCTAAGGATCAAGGATCGTAGTCATGCCAACACCAGCCTCAGTGGCCGAAGGATCTAAGCACCGCCCTTAGGATTTTCTACAGACAAATCACACACAAATCATACGCAAAATTACACAATCCCCCCCTTCAATTTCCCCTCTTCGGTCAGGGCGCAGCCACAAGCTCCTGGACGCTTCATTGTTACCATGAATCCAATTCTTCAGGCTTTGTGGGTGCTTTTGCGGCAGATGCAAAAAAATCAGCATGTGCTTGAGATGCTTGTAAAAGAAGGGATAGAGATGCCGATGGTTTCAAGGGATTCTCATTTTGCAGGCAGTCTTTGGCGTCGGGACATCGGGGAGCATTGGGCCCAGAGTTTCATTGCTTCTCTCCAAAATTTTCAAGTCAATGAGATGCTCTAGATGTTTGACGTTTGATGATGTTTGTTGTGGTTTGGCACCAAGGTCCAGACTGGACAACAACATGCACTGTGACAGAAGCAGATGCTACCATGCTCAAGATGCAAGAGTCTTCCTTCCTTGGCGTTGAAGGGGCCACATCTCTGAAAGCCGAAATCACAGGCTTGGAATGAATTGAGTTCTGAATTGAGCAACATTGAGCCATCTGAGCCGTGTAGAGGTGTAGAGTTCGAAGTGCTCTACAGTTCATGGGAACGCTATGAAACAATCCAGCGTGAGCATGAGCGTTGTGCTTCCAGAAAGCGATAGCTCCTATAGCCCTGAAGGGAATGTAAAAATGGTTCTCTTCTACAACTTGGGATTTGCGCCACAATTATTCGGATAACACATCCTCCGCAAAAAGTCAGCCAAACCGGCAATGACATCCAGGCAAGATTCCTGAACTGAATTCTGCGGCTCACTACCGGTCAGCCAGAAATTTGATGCAGGACAGCTGCAGCGAACCCATGGCATTGAAGTTAAAGTTAAAGCATATTATCATATTAAGGCACAATGACGGCCCAGTGACAGTGCATGGGTCCTTGGACGTGAGAGCATGCTCATGCAACAGCCCGGGCAATTCATCAGACGTCTCTAAAATGAAAGCTTGAAGCCGCTTGAGCGGTTTGAGGACTTGGGAGGTGCTCTAGCTGTCAAGGAAGAGCTGATCTACTCTGGATATGTCAGCGGCCTGACCCTTGGTCTTTGAGAGATCTTGAGAGGTGCTTTCGGCCGTATGTACGAATTGTATGAAGTGTTGAAACCGTGGGGGTTTAGACTCTTTAGACAATCTTTAGACTGTTCCTTTTGAGTCGTTCGCTCGAAGTGTGCGCAAGGTGAGACCTCCAAGCTCACCTTGCTTGATAGACCTATGAACATTTTTGCCCTTCTGTCCAGTGGGAAGCTGACGCGTGGAAGCACCATAGACATGCAGGCATGTGATGTAAACATTTCAGGCACTCCGTCCTAAAGATGAGTCAGATAGACTCAGATAGAGCAACGGGCTCGACTTCAAACATAAGAACCTGTAGTCATGTTCTGGGGGGTTCAAAGTGTACTCAATAGCACGTTGATGTGCAAAGGTTCCAGATTTCTGAGCTGTAGCTTGTGCCCAATGGTGAATCTTTGATATTTGGCTGGTCTAGGAGCCCCGTGCCATGAACAGTAGATTGGGCTTACAGCTCGCAGTGCACCTCCAGTCTTCGGTCCTATGCTGCACTTGCACCTTCTCTGAAGAACAATGACTGTGGATTGGTGGTTGGGCTTAAACTGAGGAAGCAGCCAGAATCTGAATCCGAGCAGGAGCGCCTGACCTTGTCTCGCGAAAGTTCTTCAGTGTGAACAGTAGCCACACAGAGCCATTTCACCAAAGTTCCCTGAAACTTCCTATCATGTACTGCAGCTGCTGAACATCCAACGAGCCCAGGGGAGAGAGAGATATAGAGAGAGAGAGATTAGGAGGAAGACACCGGATTTTTGGATGCTTCTAGCTTCTATTTGCAGTTTGCACCCGACCAAAACCGATATATACCTGGAAACACCCGTAGACAGGCGGATGGATGGATGGACGGATGGACGGATGGACTGATGGATAGATTAATGGATGAGGGACGAACCGAAGACTGGTGGAGAATTGCATAGGTGGTCGTGCAGATAGAAAGGCAAATGTGTACGGACTCTTGGGACAGACTGACAGAACACACATTTTATGCAGTTTTTGCTTTCGAATGCCTGACACGTTCTTTTATGCTTCAGATCTTTTGAAGCGTTGGAACCACATGGAAATGCCATCCATTCCGGGATGTGTCGGTGTGTTCAGTCCATGCAGTTTTTCAGGACTTTCTGGGCACCTTCAAGACCAAGTTCAAGATTTGCAGAAACAAACTGGAGAATGCCGCTGGGTAGAAACAGTTGCGGCACATGGTCTTCTGACATGAGGGCGTATTGCGTATGCAGCGTGCGCACGTGTGCACTTTGCAAAGTTGCAGTTAACCTACTGCAGAACGCCCAAAAAATGCACCTAAAGATTTCACAGTATCATAGTAATACAATGTATATACAGTATACACTACACACACATATATAATTATATATATATACTATATTACATGTTCTCCCTGTGGCAAGCTCAGGACATCAACTGGGATAATCCGGACATGAAGTGGGTGAAGACGGCTTCTATGGCTCGGATGCATAGGTTCCTGACAACCAGGGATTTACATTATCAATGGTTCAACCCGCTGGTCTTCGGACTGGTCCCCACAGAGGATGATGGTGTCAATGCTAGAGCAGCTTTGGCAGAGGTTGAGCAGATGAAATCGGCAGCACTCCTTTTCGCCAAGAATGCTGGTTGGTCAGACAAGATCGGGCTTTTTGTCAACGTGTTCGGTCACAACAATGTGAATTCCCTTTTCATTCATGTCCTAGACATGTCAGAGCTTGGGCCAGCATTTAGCTACCACTCCTTCAAGAATCTACCCCTCGACGATGTTATCAAGGTTCTGCGGGAGGAGGCAGCTAGCAACTTTCTCCCAGCCCCTGTGAGAACAACAGATCTCCCCGGCCTGCTTGAGAAAGCAGGTGCCAGGCGGCGTAGAGATTCAACCGTGGGAGACACTACTAAAACCCTTGGCAACTTCTTCTTCGCAGGCACCGATGGTGCAACATCTGTGAAAGCAGAGGTTGTCGGTCGGCTTCCTATCATCAAAGATGCAGCCAGCTTCAGAGCTGCCAGGAGAATGCTCACTGAAGAGCTCGGAGGGATGGCCACTTTGAAGGAAGAGCTGAATCGGAGTGGTTTCATAGACCCGGTGACCGGCAACCTCACAACTGGAACACGGCCCTTCAATGTGTTTGCTCGCATTGGTGGGGGAGTGATGACACAGCCGGGTATGGACAAAGAGCAGGAATACCTGCAGGAGTTCAAGGATCATTTCATCATTTGCAGCAACTTGCCCGCCAATGATGAGCATTGGGACTCAGACGACAAGGAATGGGTTGGAAAAGCTTCAATGTCCAAGCGACATCGCTTCTTGACCTGCAAGGATTTGCATTGGCAATGGTTCAATGTCTTGGGATTCGGGCTCTTACCCGAATCCAAAGGCGGTGCTGGACTTGGTCGTTCCATTGCCTTAGTTGAGGTGATGAAGGCGGCGGCCCTGCGGTACACTTCAGTGTGCCCAGGATGGAGTGACCGAGTGGGCCTTTTCTTTCATGTCTTTGGCCACAACTCTGTGAACTCTCTACATCTCCATATTCTTGACATGGCAGAACTTGGTCCCACTTTCTGGCATTATGAGTACAAGAACTGCCCTCTAGATGTTGTCTTGAAGGTCTTGAAGGAGGAGGCATCTGCCAATTCAATGGGATCGGAAAACTATGGTCTCATGGCAGAGGTGACAGCTGCCGCAAAAGCTGCAGCAGCTGCTGCTGAAGCAGCTGTAGCAGGAAATCGTCCATCCATTCGAATGGCTAACGGTGTTGAGATTTTGAATTTGAATGTTGGCGGAGAGCTTTTTGCAGTGACCCGAGGGTCGATGCTGCAGGCCCCTCCTGGTAGTTTGCTCCACAAGATCTTTGCTCCAGAAAGCAGGTGGCTGTCCAATCTTGATGCAAACCAGCGACCGTATCTTGACTATCCAGCGACTGCTTTCAGGTATATTGCAGATCACTTCAGGTTGCTTTCACAGCTTTCTCCAGAGAATGTGTTACGACCAGTGCAGGTCCCAGCCAACCAGGAAAAACAAGTCAGAGAATTGGCTTGGATTTTGGGAGTTGAAGACATTGTATTCAATCCACAGTATGGGACAGACCCCACCCTTCCGAGATTACCACCTCGCAAGTGGCAGCTCTGCTGTGCCCGACGCTCGCCTAGGGTATCCACAAAAGCCCCAGATCCTCCAAGTTCAACGGATTCCAAGGTGTGATGTTTCACCGCTTTGCCTGTTTCAATGTGAAAGCCTGATCCAAAAATGATGCAAGTGCAATCAATAGGTTTTCCACCAGACGAGTGACGATTGGAGCCCACATCTACAACAGACCAGTTGATTCCAGTCCGCAGACTATCCTATGATAGTGATGATAGAAGGGTCCCCATTTGCACCAACTTTTGAGATAATACCCCAAATACTTTGGGTATCTTGGTATCTTAATCTTCAGATATTTTCAGGTTTAGAAAGTAGCGGCGCCAATCGCCAGATTCTTTTCCGGGGATGCGTCTTTTAGCAGTTCTGGCAACGGCCTAAGGCCTGGCGGCAAAGATCCGTCGTGTCAGCTGCATAGACCTTTGCGCCTCCTTGAGGCTGTAGGATGAACAACGTGAAAAGAACATGACAAAAAGACATATGGAAAAAAAGGATTGGCTTTGAGTTGAGCAGCTCAGGTCTGCCCAGCAGGTATCACACACACATGCAAGTGCAAAAAGAACTCCGGTGCATCGAAGGAATCAAGTGAATTGAAGAAGTTGGACAGAGGAATGTTGCTTCACAGTCCCTAGATCTGTTTTGCTTGACTCCTTGGCTCCATGGCTTCTGTAGAATTCTTCGGCTAATGATTGGCAGGCCTGGAAAATCTTTGGTTCTGTAACTCAGCTCGTGCGAAGATGATGGAAGATGACGGAAGATGATGGGAGACAATGGAAGTCATGGAAGAAACGCCGTCCGCAACAACTCATAGCGGACCTACCATAGCAAACACATGCAGTGCTAGCCAACCCTTCATGGACTTCTGCTGCCCTCTGACAGAAACATGGCGTTAAAGAGCTTGCAAGAGCCTAGACGGGCCTGGAACTCTTTGAAGCTATGCAGGGTGCGTTTTATTTTCCTCTCCTCTCGCTCTCTCGCGCTCTCTCTCTCTCTGGAAGGAAGGGCAATGTGTGCTTTTGGTGTGGCGTACCCACATAGATAATGCTGCCATTGTATTCCACTACCCGTCATTGCGATCCATAGCGTGCCCCCGCTTCCCACCGCGTGCCATGACACATTTGCTGGTGTACTATCAATAATTGACCAACAACACATTCTGCCTTTTCATGACAGCTGAACGGCCCATCAAATCCCATCACCTGTGGTCACAGAGGTTTCACAGAGGTTTCCGGTTTACCAGCGGAAACGACCAGCTTGCAGCTTGGTGAGCTGCGCCACATGCTCGCCTTCAGCTTTTCTTGAGTTTCTTGAGATATTGTGAGAGAGAGAGAGAGAAGGCCGGAGCAAGCATCATGTCCCATGGCATAGCTTTTCCTCATATGCTATGCTGCTATACTATACTTTTATTTATGCTGCTATCTCCGATTTGATCCATTTTGTTACACAAGAGCGTTGGTACGTCCAGTGCAAGCTCCTACATCACATATGTTGCACACCACGTATACAACCTCGCATGCCACCGCATACACGTGCAAAGGATCTCATCTTTCAGCTTTCCGTCCAATTGCATCCATCTGGATACCCTCAGCATGCGAATTTGGTTGCATCCGTCAGTTTGTCCATTTGTTGTTTATGTTCGGTTGGTCCATCCGTTGCCTCTTCATGCATCCCATATCTACAAATCGTCGTACCAGTAGTACCGCACAAGGCGGTGGCGGAAGTTTCAAAAATAGGAAACCTATAGGAGAGGTTGGTTGTTGTGAATCAGAGTTGGCAGAGCAAAGCCACTGATCTATCTATCTCCCTATCTCCCTATCTATCTATCTATCTATCTATCTATCTATCTATCTATCTATCTATCTATCTATCTATCTATCTATCTATCTATCTATCTATCTATCTATCTATCTGTCTCGCCATCTATCTATCTATCTACCTATCTATCTATCTATCTATCTGTCTGTCTGTCTGTCTGTCTGTCTCTCTATCTATCTATCTATCTATCTATCTATCTATCTATCTATCTATCTATCTAGCTCTCTATCTATCTATCTATCTATCTATCTATCTATCTATCTGCCTATCTACCGACCTATCTATCTATCTATCTATCTATCTATCTATCTATCTATCTATCTGCCTATCTACCGACCTATCTATCTATCTATCTATTTATCTATCTATCTATCTATCTATCTATCTATCTGTCTCGCCATCTATCCGTCTCGCCATCTATCTATCTATCTACCTATCTATCTATCTGTCTGTCTGTCTATCTATCTATCTATCTATCTAGCTCTCTATCTATCTATCTATCTATCTATCTACCGACCTATCTATCTATCTATCTCTCTCTCTCTCTCTGTCTGTCTGTCTGTCTATCTACCTGTCTATCTGTAAGCTTCTAAACCAACGCCAAAAACGAAACAATTGTGCGAGACTTCTTCATTTTTTTGAACTTGACAACATCCAAAACGAAGCAATTCTGCGAGACTTCTTCAATTTTTGAACTTGACAACGTCAAAAACAAAACAATTCTGCGAGACTTCCTTCAAAAATGGAAAGTTGAGTGCAGCGCTGACAGCCTCGTACCAATGCGTTTTGAGATTTTCTACTCCACCTATCTAAAGTACTGCGCCTGCCACGAAAAATGGATGCCAAGTCATACGAAGTGCTGCACCTGTCACGCAAAATCATCTTAGCAAACCTACAGATCTGATGCTCCACTCCAAAATGCGACCCCTCTCAGGAAATGAGCGCCCTGACCTCCTAACATCTCTCATGAACATGTCTTTTGTACTGCGCCTGCCACGGAAAATGCATCTTTGCAGATCCTCTTCAAAAGTCCCATGCCTGCCATCGTTTTTGGAAATGCTACAAAACCCTCGCCTTTCGCTCACTTTTGACAAGATCGACAATCCCTTGCACCTGCCACGCAGAACGACATCTGATCGTCCAAAAGTGGCGCGAACATGTGGTGTTTGTTTTTAACATTTTGACTTCGAAATGTGCTTCGCGCATCTTCGCGCCGCAACGGCGTGCACTTTTTCGACATCTCAACTTCCAAAAGTGGTCCGAACGTGTGTGTTTTGTGCATTTTGACTTGGAAATGTGCTTCGCGCCACAACGGCGTGCACTTTTTCGACATCTCAACTTCTAAAGGTGGTCCGACACTGAGGTGTTTTGTACATTTTGTCTTGGAAATGTGCTTCGCGCCACAATGGCGTGCACTTTTTCGACATCGCAACTTCCAAAAGTGGTCCGACGCTGAGGTGTTTTGTACATTTTGACTTGGAAATGTGCTTCGTCCCACAACGGCGTGGAATTTTTCATCTCTCATCTGGCCAGCTGGCTCCGCACCCGCCGCTTTAGCGAGCCTACTTTTTTCGACCCTCCGGAGCCTCAAATCATTGGAAAAAGACAGTGTTTCGCGGCTTTCCTACCTTTTCGCGCATCTGCATCTTCTTTCTTCTGACTCTTTCTCTTCTACTCTTCTCTCTTCTAATCTTTTCCCTTCTCTCTGCCTCTGCCCTGCTGTTGGCCTGCAAAAAACTTGTGCTTCGTGCTGTGCATTTGTTCACAACGCACGATGGAACACATGCCAACTAGTGTAGCCAAAAAAGGAAGGAACATGCATGAGCATGCAGATGAAGCCACGTACAGAAAGAGTATTAAGAATAGGCTGAGAAAATGTGTCACCACGGCGCAGTGACAGTCCACCACAGTGAACAAGTCTTCCATTTCCAGACCCGCTTGCAGGCGCGATTTGCCCAGCTTCGGAAGCTCTGACCTGTTTTACCGCCATAGGATCAGAGGCAGAGAAACACACACATCAAAGGATATAATAATAATAATAAGAATGATAATAGTAATAATAACAATAATATACACGCATATGATTGATCACATGTGGGTGCATGGCATGCACATAGATTGATTTGTTCTGTTCGCAAGTGGTTTCGCAAGTGGTTTATGCAAGTGGTTTAGAACCGTTACCTTCGGAAATGAGGCTCAAGGAAAAAGACAGAAACCGCGTACCAGTCATCACGGGCCATGAAACTGAATGCTTCGTAGGTTTATTGTCTATTATTTTGCGCGTTTGCAAGCTCCAAGTGTATCAAGGACCATCTTTGCTTGCTGTAGGTGTCGGCACGTCAAAAAGGGTTACTTTTATGTTCTCCTCAATAGCTTGTTCCAATGATTCCAATGATTTTTAAACCTGAAAAAAAGTAAAAAATAGCTCTTGGTTTTTATCGTTTGTTGATTTTTGTTCATGTAGATACCTAGTGTATACAAGGTGATGGTTGCAAGTGCTATATATATATATATATAGTGTTTTTCCATGATTTTGAGAATAGATTGTATTTGTTTTGTTTTTTTTGTTCTCCCTTCCTTTTGCTTTCGTTTTTCCTTTTCTTTTTTTTCTCCATTTTTTCCCTTTTATTACTTTTATTTTGCTTTGTGTTTTTTGGATTGTGCTGATTTGCTTTTTGTTTTTCCTTTTTATTTTGCATTTTTCTCGTTTTTTTTTTTTTCAAGTTTGTTGATTCTTAGAATAAGCGGTGGTCTGGTGAACATAAGGTTACTTAGGTCCCTTGCATCGTCCATTCTTCTCTCATAGCGCTTCCTCACCTAGGGTTTTCTGTGACATTACCAGCTCCTTGCCCACTCATGGATGCAGACAGCATAGCTTGCCAAGCTGCTGAGATTGAGGCCCTTCAGGCGCAATACTTTGTGGATTCGATTTGATTCGATTGATTCGATTTGCAGATATCTGCAGTAACGATTTGTGCGTCTTGGACTTCCTTTGCCTTTGACCAGGCAATTTACGAACAAGAATTTGAGCTGGTAGAGGAAGCCCAAGAAGGACTCCGCAGCTGCAAATTCAGAAGTTTTATTTGGTAGGTTGGTCAGACGGGTTCGTGTCATTCGTGCATTCCATCTCATGTGCCGCATCTTTTTGCCTTTGCTGCGGCGGAAGAGTTGGCTCTCTGGGGGAGGTTGAGCCAGGTTGGCATGCGACCCCCATTTGCCCCTACCTCATGTGGGTATTCAAGGTGGCGGTAGGGGCGAATGTGACCCTAGGGTAGGGGCGAATGTGAACCCTGCTTTTGTGTGGCAGGCGCAATAGTTTCAGAGCCTCGAAAGGATCTGTTCCAGGTCAGATAGTTATTTTCACGTGTTACGTTGTAAAAGCCATTTCA